ACTCCATACTGTACAGTAATGCCACTGTTTTGCACATGTGTCAACTCTGTATATTTTTATATATTTTATTTTTTACTCTATTTAATTTGTAAAATATGTGTATACACACACACACACACACACACACACACACACACACACACACACACACACACACACACACACACACACACACACACACGTAGAAAAACATTTAGTATACACATCCAGAAATGCATATACTATTATATATTGTACATATATTTATTAGTTTCAGATGTAGCCATTCTTGTATTTTGCTTGTTTACGTTATTGTATTTTGCACAACTTTGTTGCTTGTGAAGCTCGCACACAAGAATTTCACTCACATGTACTGTACCAATGTACCTGCACATGTGATGTGACAATAAAAGTGATTTGATTTGATTTGAAGTAATATTCCCATCATTTGATGCCATTTGTAATTGCAAAAAATGAGTCACATTAATGAAAAAACAGAAGTAAATGTAGTTGAAGCAAAATAGATAAAGAAATAAAACTGTATATTGTTCTAAAGAGATCTCACAATAAGAGACAGGTTTTAAGCATATCTACAGTGTGACATTACATATTCTTCCCGCCTTAAGCGAAGCAACCAGCGAGAAAAATAATGAAACACCATCAGCACATCCGCATGACATCTGTGGCAAATGAGAACTCATCTGTCAGCAGTCAGCTCTCTCTGAGCGACACAACCTCCCACCAACAACACACACCAATCTCTTTCTAAACAAACACAAACAAGAGAGAATAGATCCCTCGATCATCATCACACAGCTGTAAACACAGATGTGCTCAGAGTCATGTCATTTAACAGAAACAGACATGGCTGAACAGGAAGTACAGTACAGCCCGAACACAACACATGCACACATGTGAGGACCTGGTGTAGACTATAAAAAGATATAAAGCCATTACATTTTAAATGAAGGGAAATTGTGGAGAGACTTTAAATTCCAGATGTTGTCACAGCTGGAATCATGGATTTAAGAACTATCGAGTAGCCAAGACAGTAAAGGCTCCAAAAGCTTGGCGTGAAATTATATAGAACAGAGGATACATTTTTTGAATTCTTCTACTCTCAGAGAAATTTAATCCAATGCAGGAATGGTTCTTTCTGTCATAGACAACACAGCCATTGTCCTCTGAGGTTAGAGAGCCTTTCCTGAAAGACTGTCTGCCTGGTGGCCCCAGGCTAATCTGAGCTGGGCTGAGTGGAGGTCACAGGGCACATGCTTAGCCTGGTTTTGGCTGGTGGTCTGAGCACAGATCTTTCAGATCACTACTTAGGTCAGGTGGCTCAATTTGCTTGAGATAATCTGTGAAAAGCACTTAGGTACATTTTAAAAGATTCTTATTTTTAGCACGTGTGTTTCAGATTAAGTAGGCTACTGTGGGCTGTAATGTAGCCTATCCTTAAATTAACTGCGGCTACATTAACAATATATTTTAAGTTTTGGAACAGAGTGTATGACTAATTCTGGCTGAGAAAGATGACCTGCTCCTCATCTGACTCTGCTTTGTCTTTGTGGTAATCAAATCTGAATGTTTCATAGAATGAAGATTAAGCCCTCACTTCCTGCTCAGCTCAACAAAGTCAGCTGTCTGTTGAAATGCCGGGCCTGAGCTGATGTCGCTGATGAAGGCCAGATGTGGATTGCCTAAGCGCGCACACTTTCTTTCTTTGAAGAAATTGGGAGTTACTGTGATTCTTAACAAACCAACAGACTGACGGACTGTGGTCCACCATCAAATAATACTCTGGTTACTGGTAGTTCACACAGTGTTAGCCAAAACTAATTTAGGTTTGGAAGCGATCCACTATTTTAATGCCGCATGTGTATCAATACTTTTTTCCATTCCTGGGTTTAATTTCTTTACCAAGAACCTGTCTATCCTGGAGGATTATTGTAAGGTCACAAGGATACATCCAAGTTTATACCAGAACAGGGGATAAAGTGGGGCCCAAGTTATTACTCTTTTGTTTTCAACACTTCATGTATTTTATAATTGATTCATTTTTTTGTTATCAGAACGCATGTTGAAATAAGTGTGGTTTTTTTAAACCACACAACCCCTTCACATTCCCATTGGAGCTACTGTAAACATGAGCTATAATACTTGTACTTTCATGTCCCATGCACACACTGAATAGCTTATCTCTAATAACACATCAAATCGTTCCATGACTAGCCTGCATCCACTTATATAAGAACAGATCTGGATTCTCAAATCACGTTGATCAAAGGTAACGCAATAAATGTACAGTATATGTACAGTATATCCCATCCTGACCTTCAGAAAAGACCACAGTTACTGGAAGAAAGACTCTTTACCCTTAATAAAATGCAAACCGATCCCACATCTGGATATCACGGACTGGCCATGCGTTAGTGCCAAATTAAAATACTAACACAATGAGATTTTACAATATGTAACAATAAATGTCATTTAAAATGCTTTTTTCTTTCACTCCCACAACCTGTCTGGTAAGTACAGCACACAAAAATGTGTCCAAACTGCAAGGTCATGTCTAACCACTGGAAAAATTGAGTTGCCTAATAAAACAGTTACGTTTCGGTTACGTTTATTCCAGTCTTTTACACGAATTCCCAGCCATGTCTGAAGGTGTCCAAAAACCATGATGAACAGCAGAAGAGCCTGGTTTGGCATGAGTGACTAAATAGGTTTATGTAAATGAGTTTCACAGGATGTCAGTGGCAGGCCAGGTCCCAAATCCCCAAGGCCCAATAGCTCCAAAGCAGGAAGAAGCCACTCATCTAATAGGTCTCTCGGGGGTGTCTGGTCATGCATATACCCTAAAGTGAAGACGAATTGTATCGTCGATGGACGGCAAATTGGGCCCAAGTCATTATGTAGGACAGAAAAGCTACAAGGAGGCTCCTGTGCAAACATAGGAGAACCAGAAGGTTGCTTTTCAGATCACTGCCATGGCACTCCTAAAAATACCAGTGATGCCATGAAAAGTTTAGACCAATAATCAAAGCCAGAGTGTAATCCTAATGTAATATGGTGAGCAGATTTTGCTTCCATATGTTCTCATTGGATCCAGATGTGTAAGAGTGGTAGTAACATAAATAGGTACACGGTGAAGTGCTTATTTAAATGAAAAAAAAAAAAAGGATTATTATCTAACTTAAAAGAAAAAAAAATAAAGCGTAGACTATCCAGTGACTTTGTCGAATTTGTTGGGGTCAGATGGGAAAGAAAGGTCACACAGATCCAAACACTCACTGCCACATCTGTACTTTTTCCACACCTGGATTAGTTTACACTATCTCACCTTTAAGCACAAATTTCTTCTTGAAACATTAGCACTATTTGCTCACACTCTCTCTGTGTTTGAAACATTCTGTAACTTTATATCATTTCAATATAAGGGCTGCTGTTAACAATTACATCAGCTTAAAGAAGAAAATTTGAACAAATTTAGCTTCTGGGAGAAAATAAGCACTGGCAGTGACTTGATGAAGAAATGTAATAGACTAAATTAACATACTAAATATAATCAAAGTGTTTTTCATCTATTTTGTAAAACAAAATTATTATCTATTCCAGCATTAGAGTTCAAAAGTTCAGTAAAACAGAGAGCAATCTTAGCCAAATTAACACATCTGCAATGGAAAACTATTAATTGCAAAGAAAATGATAACATCTGTCTCTAAGTAACATCTGCTATCTCACTTTAAAATAAGAAGAACATTACAAAACTAAACTGGCTGAGACGATACTTGTGGGAAATTTTGAGAAGACAGATTTTATTTTTTATACTAGATCATAATCAGAGGATGACTCCTCTGCAGCTACATAATGAGATACAGACCAACTGTGAAGCTTCCAGAGCAGGATGTTTAATTCTTCTTAATTTGGTTCTAAAACAATTTCAGCTTGGATAGAAAAACAGAAGTGAGCTACTGTAGCTGCCAAAAGAGACTTGTAAATGGCGGTTTGTTGTAACAAATTAGCAAATGGAAAACAGTTAGGAAAAATATGGAAAAATACTAGTGGCAACATGCTCACAATAACGATTCTAAAATGCTGATGTTTAGCCCATTTTATTTAATAATTGCAAACCTAGAAAAGAGAGAGAGAGTGAGATTCAAGTTGAATATTGGTGATATTACAGTTGGAGTGGAAGGATCAACAAACTCTTGCTTATTTCACCTCCTAAATCAGATGCATTTAGCTTGCTTTCCCCTGGTCACCTGCAGTGGATTTATGCCTTAAGAGGGTCACGGCTGGAGGACAACTGAATTGGCTTGTTTCAGTCACAGCATTGTACATTAGTTGCTACAGAAGCTTTGAAAAACCCCATCAAACACACGGGACATGTGTTAACCATGTTTATGGTTGGTCCTTTTATTTTGACCCTGCCACAAAGGCAGTAGTTACTATAGACACGTCTTGATGCTCAATCTTCCAGCCAAAGAAATCCTAGAAAGCGGATTCTGTTCATCTGGACATTGTGTTTTCAGTGGAAGAGAAGTTTCATCGCCCACCCAAGTGACTTCTTCAAGTTTGCCCAAACTTATAAACAATACATTTGCATAATTACTGAAACTGGCACCGTTGGCTAAAATCTCTTATTGGTGAAATCAGTTTTATGATCAATAGTATGCAAATTGTCAAATGCAGTAGTCTTAAGGGATCATCAAGTTCAAGAAATAAAACAGTAATTTGGATACCCTTAGTTATGGTTGTAGACATATTTCAATCTGTACTGGACTAGTAACTGACAAACTGACAACTGAATGTGAGCTATTATACTTAAACACACAATACAGAGAATTATGAACCATTAGAGGATGAGAGAAGCAGGCACTAGGACCTGAAGCACTGGCGAGTCACACAGAGCTTGCAGCCTCTGAGAGCTTCTCACTTACTTTCAGAACAATTTTCAAACAAGTGCAAGACTCGGAAAAGACTGTGTGGGATAATTCACAGAAGAGTTTGCTCTTCGCCCTCTTGGCTTTCTCTGGAGTTGGACACAAACTGGAATATATTTCAGTAAGCGTGGGGAGTCGTACGACAGTGAGAGAAACTAGAGCTTTTTTCAGGTAGAGAACTACTTTATCATCATCTACATTGCATGGAACTACTATAGCCTCAAGGTAGATCACATACATACAAGTAGTCTAGTGTGTAATGTATAATTTCTAATCAATTTACAAACAAAGGAAATTTGTAGAATTGTGAAGATCGTTCTTGTTAGTGTGGAGAACAGGTATTGCACAAGATAAACTTTTACATGCAGCCCAAGACGATTTTAATATTTCCTGTTTCTCTATTTTACTGTAAATGCCTGCTGAAGATTCCTAGAAAAGGGGTTTAGTGTTGAAGTTTAACAGGGAGCTGATCATCTGCTTCATCTCCTCAGATACTGTTGAGGCTTAGCCTCATCAGGTTACAACAGCAGCGGTCAGACCTGCACTCGTCTCCTTGGGCTAGGTAATGTTCTCAAAGCATTCCTGCAGACTTTGTGTATTTGCATGGTATGTTGGACTGGAAACAAGAAGCTAGCTGCAGGGTAGTTTTCTCAAATTATGTATACCACAGAGTTAAGACAAATTATTGCATTCTTGGCATAATAGCAGGTGATTAAACTGGAGACAACTCGCTATGCTTTTTAGATAAAATTTGCTTTTAGAAATCTAACCAAAACTAACATATGATTCATTTTGGACCTATTAAAGAACTCATTTCCCTTCCTCTATTGAACCCATTCCTGAGAAATTCACTCAGACTTTGGTGGAGCGTTGAACATCTTCCAAGTATAGTGAGTTTCCTAACAGAACTAAATGAGCTAAATAATACATAGAGGAACAGAGCAGTTGGTCTACTGTTATCAGCTGACATGAAAACCAAAATGTATACAAAAAGACGTCTTTTCACTCAAACAGTGGGAGCAGTAGGGAGTTTACATGGGTAAGCAGCTATGAAATTAGAGGCTGTTTTCTTAAGAGGAGTTTGGTCTCACTGATTAACTGATTTGCATTTTGATGTGAAAAGGTCAGCAAATAAAAACAGATGAATTTTTCTCAAGCTCTCGCTGCATTGCCAAATGCTCATTTTCTATCACTGGAAGATCATTTTCAATTTTACACTCCATCATCTGGAGCAGATGTAGTCTTCTAGTCTTTTGGAGTGTCTTTGGAGAAGCAGCAGGAGTTGATTCAAATAGTGTAGTTGAGTCAATAAGGCTTTTAAAGAGAACTTGTTGCTGTGTTTTCTGACGTAGGACAATGAGCAATGACCACAAGTGTGCTTGTGGATAAAATAGCACTGACTATACCAAAAATAAAAATAAAAATTACCATGCAGCTCTTTGACTGAGTTTTTCTACTTTTAAAGCAAGTAAAAATAAAAAGTCCAAGCTTTCTTGAACTTCACTCATGCTAAGGAACAGCATATTGTTAAGTATGCCAATTATGTGCTTTTTTTAATTCATAAAAATTGGATGGATGGAAGGAATGTATTTCATCACATCTTTAATTTATTTACTATTGTGTCTGAACTTTTAACCTAATGTGCTAATCAAGGTGACAGGACCTGATAAGGTACTTTCCCAGAAAAGAAGGTTGCACAGACTCTCTAGATGTTTTCGTAACGCTTCCAGATTTAGTCTGCACGTAATGAATACTTTCATCTCTGAATCATCAGTTGAATATTTTTTTTCCCCATCAGTCGATCAGTTGTTTGTGTGATAAAATGGAAAACATGTCTATCACAGGCTGCAAGACGGAATGTGACATCTGTGAATTGCTTTTTAGCACAGCAGCTGTATATCCACATTGCTGAGCAATCTGTTCCACAGGTGGATGGACAGAATCTGGCAGTCCAGATTTAAATTCTTCAGACAGGTTACAGATGCTTTATGGCCCATTGGAGTAGAACCAGTGTGTGAAGGTTTCTATTCATTTTTGAAAAAAAACAAAAAAACCCAAAAAAACCCCCCAGAAAATAAATAAAAATCTCTGTCAAGACCACCTACTTATACCTTAATCTAGAAGAACAGAAAGTGAAACAAATGGCGTCTACAGTAGAGATGTGGTGGTGAAAACATACAGCTGCATTCTGGATTACTGTCATCTTGAATTTTGTTATGATTCAGCTTTTCTTTAGATTGACAGGTACTTGTCTGGTTCTTCTCAGCTCTCTGTATGGTTGCCAATTAAATGAAGTCCAGTCCTAGCTTGTTGATGACAAAAAATAATTCCTGGAACTTGCATGTATGTCTGAAACACCAGTTTCATATCAAATACACAAGCGTGAGTAGTTTGTGCCAAATAATTGGAAGCATGGTGTACAACAGATGTTGCTACAAAGCAGCTCCCTGGGAAGCTGTGCACTACATCTGAATGTACACAGTTGCAATGGTAATATCCTTTGATATTTTGCTGCCATGCAAAAACAAATAACACACACAAGTCCAAAAGCACAAGATATATAAAAACGGCTTCTATTCTATCAATACCAAGTTTAACATTGACTCTGAACAATAACCAATTTGGTGCCAAGCTCAATTCAAAGTTCACATTTCAGTTTACTTTGGAAACTCTCAGTACTTTTGGGCATTGTTGCTATCTTCTTTAGTAATACTTCATACTTTATATTTTAGCATATAATCTTTTTGGAATTCTTTACTTTGTTCATGACACACTCAGCAACTGAAGCAGGCTTTATAAAGCAGAGGGCTCAAATCAGTAAAGCTTGTCTCTGGATGATGTGCAGTTACATGTATATGGCTACAGCTTTGTCAACTTTGACTTTAATTATAGTGGAATGGAAGTAAACTTTACAGACAGTTTTATACTGAGCAGTTTTTTAGAATATAAGTAGTGATGCTACCTTTATACTATTTTCACCCTTGTTCATTAACATTGTATATGACCTTGTTAAAATACACAAAACACATATTTCCAGAATCCTCCTCTTCTTCTATCCTCAAAAAGAGCATGACAGTAATTGTCTACAGCAACGGAAGCCTCCATTACTCCGCCCCTCACTGGCATCAACCTGATTGGCAACCTTTCATATATAATTGCATCAGCATCCATCCTTCTATGCAGACATGTCTCATCATCTTTTATAGCCTCGGGCACTGTTCAAGGAGCGCGGTACCACTTACAAAGCACAGAAAAACAGGGGGTACCGTTAAAACCTTCTGCTGTACAACTGCAGACAATTATTTCTCTTAATTACTCAGCAGGAGCTCCTCAGTTTGATATCACATTGAGAACATGAAGTTCACTATAGTTAGAGGAAGTGCATTAACATGGCACATAAAAACAAGAGCTGTCTGGGACTGTATGTCTTTGCCAAGTTTGAAAAATTCCAATATGAATGAATTGACTAACTGGATCCAGAAGGATAACTGGATATCCATTAGGTGTGCAATGTTTTTTGTTTCGGATTCGTAAAGATGCAAATTTGTCCAGTTGTGTTCTCTCTTGCAATTGTAAATAGCTTCTCCAAAATATTCCTAAAAGTTAAATTTCCTAAAAGTTCAGAACTTCCAAGTTGGGCAAAGCCCCACCTCTATTCATGTTTTTATGGAAATCCTTACATAACTTCCGCGTGAACCTACTATCAAACAGCAAATGGAAAACAGATAAACCAAGCCAGTCACACACTGGGTGTTAACAAAGTAAAACTATATATGTGTGGATTTGAGCAGCAGCTAAAACAGGCCTGTGCCTGTGATTAAGCTGTATTGCCTCTCTCCAGTGAAGTGCCCTTGCAAGCAGGAGTGCCTCATCATCTGAGAGCACAAGTTTCAATAAAGCCACACACACACAGTGTGTGAACTGTGATTCATTCTCCTTATCCAGCACAGCAACTACAAGTCAACTCCATAACCCATCGGTAACATCAGCTCTTTCATTTAGAGCCTACTCTAAATTGACAGCGAAAGAGAAATAATGCTCTTTTGTCTTTCAGTGTCAATTACTTCAGCATGTTTTCAGAATATTTAGTTATTTATTTAAAAAAATCTTTCAAATCAAAATTGATGCTGATGATTACCATTTTCCACTATCCGCCAAAGTGCCAAACTACTAACACAGATAAATAAGCTTGTCCCGTGTGTATTCACTGACTGGAACCGCTGCTTTTCCATGCTTGTATTTTGCCTGAGTCATCAGGTATGGACTAATTGTGTGAAGGAAAATTCCTTTTGATTCGAGCCAGTAAAAACACACAAAGCAAAAGCCCAGAAGACCACTAAAAGAGACCACATACAAACAGTCAAATTTGCTTGAAAAATAAACCGTTAAATACAGCAACATGCGTGCATTTTTACATATACACTGCAGCTTTTTTGATGTTACGTTATTTACTCTGCATAAAAGCAGAGGAGAATTTATTTGGAAAAGCTGCAACCATAATATAGGGATTCAGAAAATTGCTGTGACGAAATCAGTGGCTACAGTAAAAAAGGGCCACAAAGGTGTAAGAGTGTATGCAAGAAGCAGTTGATTGGCCATAAAGGTGCAGCTATATCACACGCTCACTGAACCAAAACTTTAAACAGTCACTTTGGTAAGAGCTTGCCGCAAAATGGAAACAAAAGCCAGAAAAGGAAATCCAGTCACTTTTTCCACAAGGTGACAAAGCAACAGCGATAGTTCAGAACCTCCTGATATTTGTTACACCGGTGCTTAAAATACTTTACTCTGCAAATGCATAACTTCAAAAGACTTTTTACATCAAGTCACTGGAACACTATGGACCAAATATAAGTGATGGCTGGATTCTTTTAAGACCAAAAACATATTGTGGGTAACTTTTTTAGAGAAACACGACTGCTAAACATTAAAAATGAAATCCGATGCTCGAATTGGCCCTTTTTGGTAATTGTGCTGACAGACACAAACAGCAAAGGCTCAAGAGGGCCTCTTATTTGTGGAGTAAATTTTTTTCAGTCACATAAATAAATAAATAAATAAATAAATAAATAAAATCTCAAAAGGTGAAACAATAATCTTCCTGCCACTCTAAAAGATCTGCATAATATTTATTATGACAGGGACAGATTCAACGCTGGTCGCAGCAAGAGTCTGTAAATGAACAGAGAAATGAAAGCAGCTATTCAGTCCAGGCGTAGAAGGCTTATCTGATCTGGCAATTGATGTTTTAATGTTCTGCAGTAATTGCACTGGCTGCAATCTTTAACATAAAAACAATAAACAAACATTATCAGCCAAAGAGATGGAAACAGCTCTGGTGCACTGAGGCTAATCTTAAATGGACTGAAGTTAAATCACAAGTAAACTTGATAGTGATATACAGTTCATCTCAGGCTAACAAGGTCTGCCATAGTTTAAGCACAAGCTAAACTTCCACCACAATGTTGAACGTGATGATGCTGACACCTCCCAGCAGTCACTGTTGTAAGTGTATATCTTGCTAAGTTTTTTGGAGTACTTGAGCAGAGCCTGTGCCTTCCT